GGTTTGTCCATCTTTGCATTCCCTGCCAAGCATATTCAAACATGCTGGTAAGCGGTCATATTGTACTGAATGTACTTGCATGCCTTTGTATCACCACTCCTACAATTGACACCTGCTCAGGTCCAGGTATGTTCCTTCCCTTTCTTGTATGTATAGAACTGCAACCGTGCAATGGTCCATGGCTCAAGTCTCTCTGACCCTGCCATGCCACTCTTCTTCCACATGACCCGCGCCAGGTTCCTAGGACCTGGGTGAAAGCGCAGCCCTGGGTGAACCTGTCCAAGGCCTGAGTTTTTAATGATTTGGATGTTCCTCAAAGTGGATTCCCCAAAGCTATCACGAGCCCCTTGCCAAAAGCAAACACTCCAACGATGTTGTCCAGTTGCACACACAGTTCATACCGTTTGACTTATATACACCCAAGTTGCCGACTGCTTCACCCCACCAACAGAATCTTCTGCCTGGCGATCGGTGCCATTGGCCCACAAACATCCATTATACTGTTAGGGAGAAGCCGAGTTCCACTGCAGGCGCCTCAACAAACTCAAAGTGAACCAAAGAATCTCCAAAAGTCCATTCATCTTCGCACCGAATCTATGAAGTGGACCAGTGGCAATCAAGTCTTTAGGCCATACCGTGTACAGCACGAACATTGCCGACAAAGCACCAGGTTACTGAACCTATCCTGACCTCTCATAGTCCCAAACACCGCAAATTGAGTTCCTAAGACTCCTGTTGTGCCCCATCCGCTGCTCAAGACCGAGCAACCAAGGTTCAGCCACAGGCATCCCTTACCCTGTCACCCAGCCTTCTAAAGCACTGCACTGAAGACTGAAGACACCATGGCAGTCAAGGGGCATAGGCATAGGCGTAGGGAGAGACAACAACCCAACTTTGTCGCACATCTGCAGCCATGATCGTCCGCATGCCCCTGCAAACTACTCCTTCAGTCTTCATTCATCTTCATTCATTGTCTATTCACGTGCAGACAACTCCTTCAAATAACGTGATGCATCCAAAGCAGTAGCTGACACCATGAAAATGACACTCTGCAATCCAGTGGTGAAGATCAAAGAGATGCAACCTAGAGGTGAGGACCGGAGTCAAAAATGCAATCGAACTTAATCGAAGGGCTCACTCCCTAAAGTCATACATGCTGAGGCTAAACTTTGGAGAACTCAGGTTTCGTGATATATATATATACAGTAATCCTACTCGACCAACATTAATCCATGAAGGGGTGCCTCCTTCACTTGCGCCTCCAGCCGCAGCTGAAGGGTTGCTGCCCTTAGTGTAGCTATTTGTAGTACTCTGGCTTCTGTGCCATGGGCAGTCGACACCCCCCATAGACCTACAGACTCTATCACTCTCTCCCATCTCGTCTCTTAGAGCTTTAAGCTTGCAACTTTTGTTGCTCTTGCTCGAAGCAATCCTGCCATGCAAAGGTGCACTAAGGTCCACTTCCGCATGCAGCAGGAAAAGCTCCAGACTCTCGAGTTACTCCAAGAATGGCCAAGTGTCCAACCAGCCCTTGGGATCCCTTGGGATCCCTTCAGATCCCTCGGCCTGCCAGGATTTCTGTTCGCCTCGAAGCGCGTACTCTGCCTCAACACGGGGCTTCCCAGAGATTCACACAGCTCCGTCATGCTATTCAAAGCTGTCTTCCTATTCCTGGACATTTGCGGCCTCCAGCTGTCGCCGAAGTGCACACTGCTCGGCAATCAGCTGAGTGTTCTTCTCTGCCCTCAGCACTTGAAGGCACATTATCCCACGTGATGGCACCACGGCAACGAGATCAGAAAGTCCCAAGCATCGTAAACTCGTTGAGGAAAAGACTCTTGCTTCAGGTGAGAGCTTAAGACTGACACCTGACCTTCAAGCACCCGAACCTTTGCCAAACAAGGGGCGAAGAAGCTACAATTTAGTGGTCTTCCAAATCAGACAGAAGGAAAGAGCCTGCCTGCGAACGTTTATCATCAATCTCTTCGGCTTGTTCAGTGATTTGTGCCTAAGCAGATCGAATTGCCCTACATTGCCCTACATCATGCATTCTGATACCACGCGTTTTTGGAACTCTAGCCAGCTGTAAGGGCATCGCGTTGGCATGAGCGAGGCGGCTACGTAGGATTTTGGCCTCCGCAGGAACCGAGGAAAATCAAAGCACAAAAAGGATTGAATGCCACAAGTCCACACGGGCTTCCCAAATTACAGCACTGTTGGATGTGAAAATGCTTGTGTCTCGCCTTGCCTCGTCTGGGTCTAAACATCTGGCCAACTCTTCTTGGAAGTGCTCCAACTTGCGCTTGTGCTCCTGCTTCCACGGGGACAGGGAATCAAAAGTAAAACAACTGATTTCTGATGATTTCTGTGGTGTGGCAGACATTGCGGTACATTTCAGTGCACTCGCCAACAAATCAAGCTCCAGAATAGTTTGCAAGCAGCCAAATTGCCTCCAGTTGCTCATCCTTCATGTCCAGCTGTTGACGCTGCTCTCGTATCGCCTTCAAAAGCTCCACCTCAACTGTCATCTCCCTACAGCATCACCACCACCACTTGTCTCACATATTGCAACCATGTACCCTGAGCATCTTGCCCGACGTCCGTAGGCAATACCCTCATCCTGGCAGCATCGCAAAAGTGGCATTTGATGTTGGACAGCTTCACCTTCAGCAACTGTGTCCTCTGGTCCAAGGTGAAACTCTTCCGCTCCTCGGAGGAGGGATATGCATTGTGGTCGGTGCTGGCGGGGTGAGTTGGGTGGATTGGCGGCGGCTAGCTTATCTGGCAACACTGCAAGGAACTGGGAGAATGCAATATGCCAACCTCACAGGCTGTTTGTCAGGCGCATGGAGTGACAAAGCAAATCAATGATCGCCAAAGACTCGACAGCTTTACCACAACGTGTTCAATCCCCGATCCAATTTGGATGTTGACAATACTATGCTGATGATTCACAAGGGTTAATGGGGCCTTTGTGTTCTGCACACATCGCATGTAAAATCCCTCATTTGAATGCCCGTTGCCTGACCAAGCTTGCTTATGCCCACCATCGTAATAGGACATAATGGCACCTCGACCATCGGCGTTGAGCTACGTTCTGAAGCTGAGAACTGTTCTGCGGTCTTCAAGTAAACAAGCTGCGCTTTTTGTGCTAAGCAATGGTTCAGCTTGTGGCACTCGTCACCTTGCGTGCTGGGAAAGGTTTTGGGAGGATGCAGCCTCGATCAACCATGTTATGTGGAATGACCCACCGATGGAGAGGGCATGGCGCCAAGGGCGACAAAGGCGACATCTGAGGTAGATGCAAGTTGAAGATTCGGAGGCACACCTCTGGACCAGGGACATACTTCAAGGCCTGGCCTGAGAAGCCCGCACGTCCAATAGAGAAAAGAAGTGCACGGTCAGGATGTCTGATGCTCAGCAAATGACCGAGGAGCTGCTGATGAGTTGCAACCTCGGGCAGTAAAACGCTGCACATCTCTTGGATAAATGAGTCTCACCAGAGGGGTCATGCTTGTCTCCACCTGTGGAGGCGACATCTCGCATCCATGAGCCGTTAAAGAGGTGAGGCCGTGTTACGTGCCTGGCTTGCTGGAAGTCAACGGAAAATGCACCCGGAGGCAACTCAAGCATGCAACGGCGGACAGCATTTGCTCCAAACCTCCGTGCTGGACACGCTCCATCAATTGCACCTCAGAGACAGGAGTGGTGGAAATATGCGATCCATGCAGGCCATGTAGTGCCATTTGGATGTGAAATCAAAGCCCTGCAAGACATTCTTCTTTTGACTCATGCACTCTATCCGTCTTCCCTGAGTCTTCCCTAGTTTTTGCGGTCGGCTTTGGGCATTGCTGCTAGCATTGCAAGACTCTTCGACCAGTACTGAGATCAGCGGCGAAGCGAGCTTGAAGCTGCTGGAACGGATGCCCTAGCCTTGGTCAATATCGGAGAAGGCTCTTTGAGATCCTTTGACGCACTTGCGGGAACTTGACTGTCTACTCCTGCCCCACCAACTGGCTGCAATTCGAGCGCGTCTTTTTCAACTATGACATTACCATGCAACTGAAGCCGCAACCCGGCCATGAAAGCCATGATTGCGGCTTAAGTAGGTACGCCTGGCTACTTGCAGGCCGTGGCGCTTCAGCATGAAGACTATCTAAAACATCACTGTTTTCCTGGAGCGAGTTCCAATAGGGCCATATGTCACCACTTTCATGCATGAAGCCTATGGGCATTCCATGCAGGGTTACTGTAATGCTTGAGACTTGGCTCCTTCCTTCGCACCCTGCATGGGCAGCCCAATCAGACTCTCTGTGGGCAATCTGATTCCATCGCACACTGCCGGTCTGCAGTGGCGAACGAAATGCCGATACCATCACTTTGCGATGTGTGTCGAACCTGCTGGGCGGGCCAAAATACATCAAAACAACAAAAGTTCCGACTGAAAAACACACACGCTCACAGCACTGCCACAAAGCTTCACCCCACAGCAAGACGGCAAAGCTCCGGAACGGCATTTTGCAAAGCTACCTAGGATCTTCTCTGCACTGACTTGGCCGGGTGGCAACTTGGGACGCTGACAGTGAAACAATGAAGACATACTGAAGCCTGCCACAAGCAAAAATGCAGCAATGAACACACTTCCGCAAGAGGTAACGGCCTGCCTAATTAAGATGCCCTCAGTCATCCACATGTGACCTGCAAAGCCAGAATCAGAACTGCAAAATTTATCAACACGTCTACGCACGGGCTCTGAGAGCTTTACGCGCTCGAACCCTCATTGTGTGACCCGCTGCTGCCTGCAATGTCATGAGTCTGCAACGCTTATGTACAGTGGTCAGTTGCAGCATTTTTCTCGCTGAAAAGGTTCGAAGAGCGAGAAAATGAGAAAATTGAGCCTTCCTTTACTCCAAGGCTGGACCCGCGGCGCTTTTGCTTGCAATCCTGATGCGACAAAAAGCCAACAGCCAAACAAGCACGTCAAACGAGCTACACCACACTCACCAGTCGTCCTGAGTGACTTTGCGCAAGACCTTCTTTGCCAAAGATTCCACTTTTGATATTTGGTCCTTGTCTTCACCTAGGGCGAAGGCTAAGGCTGCTGTTTGCGTGTCTTCATTCAGTTCAGGGGTAAAGTTAAAGGCAAGGAAGACTCAAGTTTGGCGAAACTCTTGGGCCAATGACGACTCTTGGATTCTTCGGGCCACTCGAGCTCCATGGAGCAGGAACCACCAAAGCGCAGGATGGAGTCCTGGATGGAGGACTCCAGCTCCAAGTGAGGGCACTAGGCACTATGATGAATGCGAATTTCTAGTTGGCCGCGCTGCAGTAATTTAAACAAAAAGGAAAAAGGAAGGGCCTCTGTAATGAGGCCTATCTTAAAGGGTGGCCTTATTGAAGAGAATCTGTTGAAGGCTACTTTCTCTCTAACGAGTCTCATTTCATCCATTCCCAAACTACCAGGAACCAAAAGGTTCCTGAGAAACTCGCGGTCCTTCAGGACAACGTGTTCGCTTGCTGGCTCAGTAAGCTGCAAGCCGCCCGCCACTCCAACATCGCCCTCAACCGAGGGCTCGGTGGCAAACCATAACAAGTGCAACTGCTTCATCAAGGGGGCTTGAGGTTGCATATATAAATCATTTCCATTTGGTCCAAACTTTGTAGCAGGCATATGCAGCCATGCAAGTAAGAATGCATGACTTGGTACGAAAATTGTCGACAAGATTGCAGTTTTTTTGACGCAACACTGAATCAATGCAAATTGAAAGCCTGGTTGAACTCCAAAGGCTGATCCAAACCAATGCTGTTTATGAAAGTCCTCAGCATAGATTGTAACTTAGAGGCAGCTGAAAGTCATCAGGTCTTGGGGTCTTGGACTGAGAGTCTCAAATTCAGTGAAGAATGTGAAGACATGTCTCTCGCTATAGAGACAGAAGACCTGTTTAATAGGTATAAATAGTAAAATAGTATTACATTGTGTTTGTTATCTTTCAGGCTTCATGATTTCAGAAGCATGTGAAGGTCCAAGAGGCGAAAAATGCTGGCGATTGAAGTTCGCCAAGGCCTGCCAAGTCATGGAAGTTCACTCCACATTGCTCGTGGCTGCCATGGCCCCTCTCTGCTCCACATCTTTGCCTCCACAATTTTCTGAGCTCGGTTTAACCGAGCAAAACCCACCATGTCCTGACGAGCAACTCCACTGCACAAACCCACAACCTGCTGGGTTTCATCATATGGTCATCTAAATGTATATAGTACCCTTGCCGTTTCAGAAGCACATTCTCACGCCCTGCATCAGTCCTGGTAGATGTACACATAGCTGCTGTTGAGCTGGGCAATTAGCAAGTTCATCAATAAAATAGAGGATGCCAAAACCTGACTTTGAGCTATCTACCCCCACACAGGTTGGTTACTTGCGCACTGTGTTCCCCAATTCATCTTCATTCCAACAATGGGTCCAGGGAGCAAAAAGCAGAACTGCGGTAAGCAAGGCTGGCTCCTCCATCAAGGTTCCTCATAAAACAAAAAAGCAACACTGGAACCCCAACTCCCTGAGAGGACTCTAGCACAATGCAGGCCAGGCGTCGGTAGTCATCTTCATAAAGCAAAATGGTGATCGAAAATAAACACAGCACCGTATTCCTAGGCCCCCGCATCAAAGAGTCATGCGTGCTTCAGGTGGTGCAATATCCACCCCCCCCTCATCAACAACAACAACAACAACAGACCTCTTATATATGCAGCAACGTGGCGGGATGTCACGCATTTCCTTGGCCCACACCGAATGATATATATATATATATATATCACATCGTTGAAAAAGTCTGCAACTGCCAAGAACACGGCATCTTGCAGGAAGTAAAACATACATACTGTGCATATATATATATATATTGAATATATTGCCTAGCCGAGTTTCAAAGTATGGATGCTCCAACACACTGATCGCACTTCCAAACGTGAGGAGGAGGAAAATCAGTGCAACGAGGAAGCGGCCAATCTCACTCAGAACCTTGAATCCACTGACCATTAGCTGGATGTGAAGAAAAGTCCCTGTTGAGTAGTTCGGCCTGTCGTTTTTTCACACCGGGCTGCTTGCGCACAAACCAGAACGAAGGCCGATAGCCCGGTTGAGAAGACGGCAAGATCAACCATCAAGAACCAATGCACTGCCATAGCAAGCAGCCCTAGAGCTGAATACGTCCATCGAACATCCTAGCCACAAGCAAGGTTGCCCCCTCTCTGGCAGAAACGGATGTCAGTTTAGGCAAGCCACGCCTGGCCTATGCAAAGTAAAGGACGAAAAGAAACTAAAGCAAATGCACTACAGTGAATAGGCAGTGTCCTCAATACCATCACAATCATATGTCGGCCAGTCTTGTGGATCAGACATCAAGCACACGTACATCGGCTCGTAGGCGCACATCAGCATAAGCAAAACTGCAAGAGCCTAGGATGAGTCGCAAACTTGCGAGCTTGAAAACCAAAAAGGCTAGGTTGGAGGCCATCGCTATTGAATAGGTTGGAGGGCATCGCCATAGCAGTATATAGGCGGGAAGCCATTGCTATTAGGTTGGAGGCCATCGCTATTAGGTAGGGGGGCAGAGCGGCCTTTAAAAGTACTTTCTAGAGAAGCATCATGGGACTCTTTCACTCGTCGAGGAACCAAATTACCAAGTGCCATGGCATTGTGCAAGTACTTCGGCATCGGAAAGCATCTGAAAATGTAAAAGACTTTGCCTTTGCGACAGTCCTTGCCACTCTTCCACATGCATCCTCAGCACACACCATTGCGGTCGTGCATGGCCTGTTCGTCAGAACTTTCAACCTTGGCCCCCCAGTGTAATGCAAATGCAGCCAAGCATCTCAAAAATAGTCTGGTCATTGTTACCGCATACATGAGGCTGCGCCCAAAAAATACGGCCACTCGCACGCTAAATATGCCCTCCAAAGCTGGCTCTTTCGGCAGAATTGCTTGGCTCAGCATAAAAACGACCAGACTCACCAAGAACCAGAGCCGTGACAGTAGAAAATGATTTCGCACCAAACCATTCCACCTTGGATTCCAAAGGCACTGGCTTTGTCCCAGCCACACAAGTGCAGCACAACTTCTTTGCAAAGACAATTTTGGAGGTGGAGTCAGTCAAGGAACAATGTGTCAGACACTGTCACCACAACTGGATGAACCATGATCTTCGGATCTTTCGTGGTACAAATCTCACGCAAGAACTCTGCTGGCTCCCCCCTCCTGTGGGATGAGGCTAGAGCATCTCCGGCTTTCGTAAATCAAAAAGGATTGAACTTTATGAGAAGAAACATGCCCCTCTCTTTGCTGTGTGTGCGCTTTGTAAAAGATGCCGACAAAATGTGTATCAAAAAGCCCGATAAGATATATATAGATAAGAACAAGGAGGATCCCAAAATTTGCTTGACGGCCCTACTCTATTTTCACAAGCGAATGCAAACACAACTCTGAGGGTGTGCTGTCCTGGTTGACAAGGAGATGCTTGACCTCGGAAGCACCCACGTCAAGAAACCAAAAGGACACAGCAAGCTGGTACAGCAATCTGCCCTTCTTGAATTCTTATCCGATCCGGACTTTGAACTGGTTCTGGCCCGGCATTCTCAGTTCTGCAGCGCGAGTCTATCCTGCTGACGTGAACGCGGTTTAATACTCTTGACCTAGAAGTGGGCACCTTCAATTGGCCCTTACTAGGAACAAGAAGCTACTAGGGGCTCCTGGCCTTACTACTAGGAGCAAGGACGCTGCTAGGGGCTCCTGAAAAAGCTACTAGGAACAAGCACTAGGGGCTCCAGGCCTTACTACTCCTCTGGGGCGACACCCTTGTGGCCCAACTCTCGGCACCTTGCCGAGTTGCATAATAGTTCACTCTACGCAGGCCCTTTTCTGTTCGGGCAGATCGCCACATCAATCCATCCAGAAGGGTCGGTATGAGCATAGGAGCCTTCCAAGGTTGAACAACTGTGGCTGAGCTGAGGTTGTCCATGCAAGCTGCCTCGCGGCACAAGCAGTTGATGATGTCCTGGTGACGCTCGAAAAGGGCATCATTGCCTCAGGATTTTCACTGAACCGACTGGAACCAACTTGAACCAACCAGGTACCTACGGTGCTCGAGTCATTGAAATGTCAGACAAGCACCGTAGTAGTATCTCTCACGGTCGGCCCGGAAGACCAGCAAATCTTGTATGATGGCCTGTCACAGATCATCGTCGGAAGTCAAGCCCAACCTGTAGCCAACGATAGAATAATAGAAACTAAGACTAAGACACCCAGGCCTCTGCTGCAGCAAGGTTGCCACTTTGAATGGCCCAATACAGTGGAGATATTGACTGCGTACCCACCTGCATTCTTCGACGAGTTCTCCAAAACCAATATAATGTCGGTTTGTTGGGACATAACGTATATAGGTGAAATCCTTCTCTGCTCACCCGCCTGCACCTTCAGAAGCCACTGGAAACGCTGCCCACGGGGAGCACAACTAATCGCTCGCTGCCTTCAACTGTTATTGATTCAAGACTGAAAAGCATACTAAACTCAAATCATGATGTGGATGTGCTTCTGTTCTGTCAACACAGTATATGACATATCATGTTGCTTTCCTTCAGTCTGCCAAACACGACGGGTAGTACTGGTTACTGCTGATGTCAAAACCATGCCCCAGAGGGAACTGCTGGTTTGAGCTCCAGCTTTAAATGTTTAGTTCCAGTTCCAGCGGGCTACTTATACTTGGTTGACAAGTTCAACTAGTACAGGAAGCTTCTGGTAGTGAGGTGCACAACCTTGCTATTGCCATATGTTCCATACAAACTGCTTGCTAACCATGCTGAAGCGCCTTCCGGCACCACTTGCTGCACATACCCTTGTTACGGTGCTGTGTGTCTGTTTCGGGGGAGGCCCTGTGCCCTCCAGAACCCCGTTTTTCCGTATCTTTCCGTAGTACTTGATGTTCAACTGGTCCACAATCTAGCCCCGCAGAAACACAACTTTCAAAAGAATTCTTGGAGACCATATAGGTGTGCTTTACTCAAGAGATATCCCGGCTGGGGTAAGCATCTACATACAGTATACACACTCAAACCTCCTTAGTGTGGAGGGAAGTGTTCGCTCCACTTAGCCTAGCACGGGGTGCCAACAAAGTTTGAATTCTCACGTTCGGGAATTCAACATTCTTCAAACATACGGATCTGAAAGACTGTTGGTTCTCTGTGCCATTTGGGATGCTGGTTTGTCATCTCAGCAGTTTTCAAGCTCGAAGTCTGCAAGTCGCAACTCTTTCCCCATGAGAACACACCCCCACCAGGACAGTGTTATATGTGTTATATATATATATGTGTGTGTGTGTTGCTTATTTATTTATTGTGTTATAGAGTTGTTAATCATGTTGTTTGCATGATTTGTCTCCGACGTGGGAGCGAGCCGCGATCTTGGGGGAGGAGGTTGACTTCAAGTTCGATCTCAAGCATGGTTTCTCCTATTTTCATACCTGCACAGGTAACTTTGAATTATTCAAGTTCGAGCCAAGCTCGAGTGGGACACGCTATGAGCATGTCAGCATGTGAATCATCATGTCATTGCAGTAAGTGGTGTGTCCTAGTGGTCAACACTTGTCGTTTGCGGATGTCATTTCCAAGTGGCAACATCTTTTTGGAGTTGGCGTTCACGGCCTCAGGGCAACCCACATGTTTGTGGGCCGAAAAAAAAGCATTCCAGGAAAATGGCCTTCATCACGATGGTTGAGCCTTCTGCCACAGTCCTGACCTTGAAGGAAAAAAAGGCACGAATTGACGTTTGAACGCGTTCAACGAATAGGCACCGTGCGAGTTGCTTGGAAACAATGCCCAAGGACCATTTGAAGCCAAGCACGGCGACCGCGTCATCCTGAGGTAGACTGGTACCAAAAGTGTGGGACCATAAATGGTACGAAAATCACCTCTTGCCTACCAACATCTCAACCAAATATGTATAGCGTAGAGATGTGCACATATGTCATAGGCTTGTAACATATGGACACATACATACTATACTTGCAATATATAGCTCATGCGGAAAACTTTTCGTACATAAACATAATGCGCCTTGCATTTGCCAAGTGGCCGTTGCCCCGCGTATAACATCCACACATGCACAGACCTTGGTTCAACCAGCTTCCCAGGTGGCGCTCTTGGACAACAAAGAAACGAACGCACAGACCTGACGTCCATCTTCCGAATTTCTTTTTTTTTGTGTCTTTATTTCTTAACAGCGATGGCCTCCCCTGTAGTAGCGATCAACTCACAGCTGGCGCTCTTGGTTCATAGATGGGTTGAGTCACGTAGCATCTTTGATCGGTCTTTGACCCTTCCAGACCCTTCCGGACCCTTGCTGATGTCTAAGGGCGTGACGAATGGCGCAAACATTTCTGTTGGCACTCCATAGCCCACATGTCGAAGTCCAAGCGCTGATAAATCATCAATCATCTGCAAATTGAAACATGTTTGGTAAGCTGTGAGAACATCTGGAACTGTCCAGTGTGGACTTAGAATCAACAGTTGTTATCACGTCTTTCTTTCACTCGATGTCTCCTGCCACTGCAACCCCCGTGGCACCAGCTGTTCCTGTAAATGGAAGAGGCCTGCCATGGCTCAGCGTAGATTTCCATGGAAAAAGTGAATACCTGCAGCGAATTGCCAGACACTAAAAACGCAAAAAGCACGCTGCAGCATCCTCCGAGAGGAGGATCTTAACAAACAGCCAATCACGTCAAGGCCTACAGTCCGTAGGTGAAGACACTTCATCAGGCCTTCTCCACAATGAAATGCAAGCGTGTGTCAGACTGTTTGAAGTACTCTTGGCCCGCGGGAGTCGAGTCAAAGAATCCTTGCAATCACTTGCTAGAAGCTGCTTGGTAAGTTCAGTCATCCCCGCACAAGAAATTATTGGGTGCATAGTATGCTTAGTTTTCCAGAATGCCGTCGGCAAAGTCCCAAGCATGCTGTGAATAGTGCAGATTGGCAACGGTCATAGATGGACGCGCGTAGTTGGTAGCCTAGGATGAACGACGCCCGCAGTGTCAGAAACAAGAAGATGTTTTAATATAGTAAGGATGAGCACGGGATGAAGAGCAGAAGGTCAAAAGAAACATAAACAGCAGAATCATGAGGAAAAGTAAGCCAACCCCCAACCATCAGAACACTGTGCTAGACAAGCCGCGAGTATCTTCGACCAAAGAAGCAAAAAACCTGTTCACTGCAACCTGGCAAAAAGGCAGGCTTTGCATCCAGGTTGACAAACTTGGTCGTTGCATCTGGCCTCCCATGCATAAGAAGCTCCCAAAGTCTTCACCTAAGTCTTGCCCAACAGCCATGGCATCTCTTGCACAACCCTGCAACCGAAGGGCCAGAAGCTGCGCCACATTATCCCAAAGCCAATTCCAAGCGACCTCGTACTGGGTGTCCCATTCCTGACTTCAATCTCTAGGTTCTAGACAGTCCTTGATTTTCATGCCAACTCTGATCACAGCCTTGGGAAGAAGGGATCGCAACGAGGCCAGCATGCAGGACTTGAATTGCGAAAGGTTTGGGGCCTAAGTAGCTTTCCAGCCAGCAGAAACGGGGCATAGAATCATCGAAGTCAAGCAAAGGAAAGGCTAAGAATCCTTGATGTGCATATTCAACCAAATTCATGGGAACGCTCTTGGACCAGCGCCTGCCCCTTGGACACCTTGGGTGTCAAGGATTGTGTTTGATCAGAGGCACTACCATTCAAGACAGAATCAAACAGTAATTCTGCATTCGAGACGGACTATTTACCCAGGTCTAACAGCAGGACTACCACAAGCACCTCTAGATAGCACACTAGCATCCAGTGCACAAAACCACCCCTGCAAGTTACATGTTGATCTGGAGAGCAAACTATGAGCGGCACCTTGTCCAACCGAAGGGACAACAAATCGCACTCCTCGTGCAGTCGCAGGGAGTCCGAGGCATTCGTGACAATGTCGCCAAAGGAGTTTAAAATCTGCTCCATCCTCAGCGAGCACACTGGTATTAAAGGCGGATTTTGCGGGCTAGAGTTCGCCGTCTGGCACTGTTGACTCCGAACACCAAGATTTCAAACAAGCTGCCAGCCGCCAGCCCCGAAGCCCATGACTTGCGCGTTGAATCTAAACATGTCCTTGCAGCGCAATGCTCATGCAATAATCTTTGAGTCTGAGAAGTTTAAGTCGTCATTGATTCGGCAAATGCCAAGATTCGGCAAATGTCATTGGCACCACCATTGATGTCGTGGACAATGATGCGTTGTTTCCCGGCGTGCCTGAAATTGTGTGCAATAGACAATCCAAATTTGATTCCTGAACAAAAAATCCCCGAAATTGGTCGTGGATTCTGTGGTACCTTACCCTAATCTTGGTGCAGCTGGAACACGATCCGTTGTATTCTCAGGCAGGCTCTTTTTGGTCAAGGAGCGATCCTTGCAAGAAAGCCAATTTACCGGCCCAAAAAGAGAAAAAAGGAAGAGCCTAATGTTCACCATCCTCAACACCCATTGATAGTGCCATCCCATGTTGGCTCTGCAATTTCAAGAACACTATTGTAGCTCTGCAAGTCCTTGATGGTGGCGGTTGACACAGCACGGCTCACATTCTGACCTTGATTCAGGCCGCGATATCACAAGCTGATCTCCGTGCAGCAGCTGAGGCGAAGATGCACAGGTTGCCAGCATGCCACTTAATGTCCAAACTGCGCCTTTACATGCATATATTGTATGTATATATATATACATACTATATATATATATATATGTGCGTGTGTGTAAAATACAAATGTATGTGCACACGTGCATGATCTCCCAGCCAGTGACCGGCACCAGCACTGGCACCCCTTCCACGAAGCCATGCACAGCACCCCTGGAAAGGCTGTCGGCATGTCCCAATGTAGTGGCATGTATTCCAAGCTGAGCTGCCCATGGAAACTTCACAAGGTTGCAAAATCGAAGCCTTATGTCCAAAAGAGTTATTGTGCGAGGCCTTCTCCTTCGACTCCTCCTTCCCCCGTGCACTCTTCATTGTAGAGAATGGACTTGCCTCCTCATCTTCCTCGGAATGACCCAAAACAGCATACAACTCACCATCCGCCACGAAAACATGATGTCCGTGCCAAAGGGGCGAAGTCGCTGCCCTCTTCTTCTCCCTCCTTGAAAACTGGGAAAAGCATGGAAAAGCAATCAAGAATCTCGATTTCGCTCGGACTCTTTGCTGCTAGCTCACTGGCTTACTCTAACTCTAGCCTCCTACCTGCCTGCCACCACCTATCCCCGCCCTCGATTACACTTTCCCGCAGCCATTTTCAATTGAGACAGCTTCTGTACAAACAAGCACTCTACAAAAGGCCATGAAATCGCTGTCCAACGTCACGCAGCTCTGTACATATCCTCAAGCAGCCACATCATGCATCGGACCACTGCCGAGGAGAATCTGTCTGAACCGTTCATCATCGTAGTCGATGCTAATCCATGTGTTTGTACCTGTGTCCGGCACAGAACCCCAGCCTTGCTTGTCACGGATCACCCTGACCTCTCGGAAACTACAAACAGTTTCATCCACGACCGCCGCCATGGCCAGTGGATCGTGGAGCTTCTTGCCTTCACCTCGCCGGTAAGCCTGCATGGCTGAGCATAGCCTCGGGAAAGGTGTTTTCATACTCAATGAGGAAACCTCACACGGTACCCTGAGGCATGCTGAAGTTCCAAGCCTTTCTGGCTCTTCAGTTCTTCATTTGGGATGCGGAGGCAGTGAGAGTGGCCAAGCGGCAACTTCAGTGCTACAGCCCGTGTGGTCTGTGCGGCAATCCTTTCTGACTGCTCCAAAGCTTGCACAAAATCCAGGTGGAAGCGGTTGTCATAGACTGCCTCAGTACAGCACAGGATTAAACAACAACTCAAGAACCAAAACCCTAATGCACAAATTGACACCCGTATCATCCCACAAAAGTATGGGAGTGTACAATGAGCGTAGCGGGGTACAACTCCGCTAAGCGGTTTACGCAGCTTGATGTAACTACTCCACTTTCTGGAAGGCGGCCAAAGTACACGATGGCAAACATTTTTGGAAACTAAGACTTTTCGCAGAATGCAAGTGCTCTCAAGGGCAGCTTCAGCTGCAGATATGTTTCCTCACAGGCATGAAGCAGGATTTTTGTTCTGTGAATAGCCAGCATCAGCCTTTGAAACTGTTACAGTCAAAAACCATAAGTTCCCCACCATTGAAATTCCATGTTTGGCAAGTGCGCTTGCCAGCAAACTTCCTCAGACACAGCATTGTCTTTGCTCAGGTTTGCTTGGGGGTGTGGGTGGCAGCCGGAGGCCCTTGCGACAATCAAATAAGAACTGGCTGACATGAAGATTCCGGCCTCTCAGGATAGTCGTGAATCGTCTTCGGGCTAAGCTAGGCGGCTAGGCCACGAACTCTTGGGGCTGTGTCATCCACGCTGTGGTTCAGGCCCAGCGAACTTAGAGACCACCCCTGAGAAATTATCCTGCTAAGTTATACGGGTGCGGTCGGAAGGGGCGGGAAAGCTGAATCTAAAAATGTATTTAGCTCTCCTTTCCTCTGCTCTACCTCGATCTTCTTCTTGCCGCTTTCTTCGGCTTGGTCTCTCCTTCTTGCGATTTCCTTGCCAAGTCTCTCCAATTGCAGTTCTGAAGGAACCACCCCTTCACCAGCGAAGCCCCCCTGCGCAACCCAGCGACCTAGGGTGAAGCCCGGCACCCCCAGCACACAGCCCAAGTTGTGCAATGGGCCTCCCGGCTCTTGGCAGGCGAGCATACACAAAAGAACTCGGAAAACATTGCCACAAACACAAAAGCCACATGAAACAAAAATTGCACAGCACATTGTCGAAAACAAACATAGACGTACAAAATGTTGCCGGCGCATTCAGTAGTCGTCGGCGTCGACGTCGTCGCAGCAGCAGCAGCAGCCAGCAGCAGCAGTGGTGCTGATATACAACTAGTCCCAATGCACTAGAGCGATGCACGGGGATATGCCACTGTTTGAACTTTCCTCTGTGCAGGGCCAGGGTGTTTCGCTGTGGCGGGACTGAGGTTTTGGCGTGGCCTCCCATGCCAGACAGGCCGTAGGCTGCTTTTTGCTGGTAGCTGGGGTTCATCCTAGGCTACTGACTACTGCTTCTATGTGGGCTACTTATTAGACACTGCCAGCGGTCGCTCCCAGCTTCGTTGAAACCTCCAGGGTCAGCGTGGCCACACAACAGCAAAGGTTGCAAAAACTCAGTCCAACCAACAGCGGTCGGGCATCAGCCCATTCCATCCGGCGACGCCGATCCGGTCGGGGTATCAAGGCTAGCTTTGCTATATGGAGACGCATTTCCATGCCCGCCGACCCGTATTTCTAGCGTCACCAGGGCTCATGTGGCTTCGTCAAAAAACGTCAAAAACAGGGGGAAAACGATCAAAAATGGCCACTGTAAAGCCTATAGCTTCAAAACCTCTAGAAAGTAAAGCGCGGAAAATGGATACAAATTTTGAGGACAAATTTTGGTCAAGCATCATTAGCATGAGAAAGGGTCGCAGCATTAAAGATGCAAATCCTTTGTGTTGACTAGGCGCAAAACACTGTAAATCACAGTGTTTTTTGCTAAATGTATGTAGTTTATGAACAATGCTGCTCGTACTCTGGTGATGCCAATGGTGCTCGACACAACCGCTATCTCAAAACTTCCTCTCCCCTTAGCATACTTTCTTGTCTAGAGATAAGGCTTTACAGTAGCCATGTTCGATCATTTTCCTGTGCTTTTGACATTTTGTCAAATAAATACATACGTCCTGGTGATGTTCAAAAGGTCGGTTTGCGGCCGACATTTCTAGCACCACCTGGGCTTGTATGGCTTCTTGAAACATCAAGACTTTGAAGTGGAAAACGCTTGAGACAAATGTACCTCTGACCCAAAGCCATCTGTGTTTACAGGGTTCGCGGACGCAAAGGTGGCTCCAACTTCGCCCACTGCGTGCGTGCGGGCGGGCGGGCGGGCGCGCGTGCTCGTGCGCTCTCGTGTGCGTGAGTGCGTGAGTGCGTGTGCGCGAGTGCGTGTGCGGAGTGCGTGTGCGTTCGTGTGCCTGAAGCTGAGGTTGCCAGGCTTTTTGCATCAGACCCTCATACGCACACCTGTGTGGGGGTGTGTATGCGCAGGCGTAAGAAGAAGTTCTAATCGTCGGATTTTGCTGCGCAAAGAGCCTGCGGATACGCGCAGTCCCCCCACAAACGTCGCTGCTCGGTGAAGCCTGTCAGTTTAGTTTTTTCAAGTTGGCTAAGCGGCTAGACGAACCCCAGCTGGGCCTCCAGTCAAGAGGGTTGTGTCTTGGTCACAGGACTCCAGCAACACTTGCTCAGCAGATTCAATGCCTGCGAGCGAGATGGTTTTCCAAAATCCTCTGTGCAGCAAGGCGGGCAAGGCGGGCCTTCTACAAGGTGTTCTGGAATTCTGCCAAAGCTATCATAGAATTTGCCGCGCACGCACTTCTTCTCTGCATTCTTCGGCCATTCTTGCGCACCAACACGAACTTCTGGCAATTGAATTTCTTTGAGCATCCACAAAACCAAGGCAACCTGCTCCATTGATCCTGGTGTGATCGTCACCTTAGATGGTTTTTCTGAGAATACGCAGTGTTCAAAAACTCACATCGAATCCTCCTTTCAAGCAAAGTCAAGCGTCAGCCCGCAAGTTGACGTTTGGATGCGATGCCAGCAGCAGCAGTGTCAACACATCGTCTGGATCTCCAGTCTCCATGTCAAAAATCACGTTAGTCTTCGCCTGGCAAGCCGGAGTACGAAGGCACAAACCCAAGCTACTCCGACTTTCTGCAGCCTGGGCGTTGCACACTGGCAGCTTCTCAACTGCATTCGTGTGGCTTCTGGGTTGTGAGACGCCTGGCATGCAAGACATCTTCAAGCAGCATTGTTTTGATCCCACCCCGCTTCACCCGCGCATGGCCTGAGCCGGAAGTGAAATAGCCAGCAGCCTTCTTCTCGTCGGCCGTTCCCGCCGCCACGCGTCCCCAGCGCCTTTTGGGGCCTAGACTCGAGACACACAGGGCAGAAAGAAACACATGAAGAAACAGCATTGTAGCATATTGTAGCAGCGATGGCCTCCCACCTAGTAGCGACGGCCTCCAAGCTTTAAAAAGCGATGGCGTCCAACCCAGTAGCGATGGCCTCCCACCTAGCAAGCTTTAGAAAGCGATGGCGTCCAACCCAGTAGCGATGGCCTCCCACCTAGTAGCGACGGCCTCCAAGCTATAAAAAGCGATGGCGTCCAACCCAGTAGCGATGGCCTCCAACCTAGTAGCGATGGCCTCCAAGCGTTTAAAAGCGATGGCCTCCAACCTTTAAATAGCGATGGCCTCCAACCTAGTAGCGATGGCCTCCAACCTAGTAGCGATGGCCTCCAACCTGTTAATAGCGATGGCCTCCAACCTGGTAGCGACGGCCTCCAACCTATTGATAGCGATGGCCTCCAACCTAGTAGCGATGGCCTGCAACCTAGTAGCGATGGCCTCCAACCTAGTAGCGATGGCCTCCAACCTAGTAGCGATGGCCTCCAACCTAGTAGCGATGGCCTCCAACCTAGTAGCGATGGCCTCCAACCTAGTA